TCTCAAGGGGCATATTCCACTAATCCTGATTAATATCTTGGCACTTTTAAAGTGGTGCGCATCTAAACGCACAGTTCATAAGTGTTGATTAAATCGGGTTATAGCTGAGTTTACTGATGCAGAAGTATCTCTATGATACCCTTCATCAGAGCTGATGAAAGCATCGACCATCTTGTGTCCTTGTACCAACCATTGTAAGAAAAGGACAATTATATTATCATGCCATAATGACTTGCCATATATATTTGACAGGCAGCACACATCAATGAATACCTTTCTGTATCTCACTTAGATTCTCCTGTTACATCGCTTATCTTTTTTGAATGGCCCACATGTTTAGGTTTGTGTGTGATGTATTTTAAGCTCCATGACTTACATAAAGATGTATAAAACAGAGACACTTTGCTTTGACTAATACCAACAGAGCACTGACAACAAGAAAGGCTGATTTAGATTTGGACAAAAAAAGAGATTAGCAAATTGGCCGGAAATCTAGATACCTGATTTTGCTGTTCTTTCACACGCAGGAGAACACACACACACCACTGAACCCATTGCCCTCACTTTGTACACCAGCTGCAAGGATCTGCTGAGAGATCTGCTAACCTTCAAGCCCAATTAATGACCAATCAACCTTACTATGTACACACACACACACACACAAACACACACACGGATTTGTTTACATCTCAAATATTCTGGCATTAATACAGCATGTCAGTTATTTGTAAGCTTCATTTTGAATGCAAAGGTCTCACATCAGTCCAGTTTTTGTCTGTCTTTTCAAAGCCAAATAACCTTCAAGGTTCAAATTCAGTCTTGGGTCTGTCGCTGTGTCTTTATCTGACCTTGGATCAGGAGCCACTCGCCAAAGGGAATCGGCTGACATGTACTCCCCCATGTATGGCAGCTTTGTCAGCACAGTGACGAGAGATGGATGCTTGTTCGCTGTGTCCCTTCTCTTTGTTGACCAAGTCCTCTATCATGTTTGGATCAACTTTGTTTGACCTCCCCATGCTCCACTTGACAGTCCCTATCCGCCACTTTGTTGTGTCAGTAAGGTGTAAAATGCAGCTGTCGGACACGATAAGAGGTATTCTTGTTAAGGACAACATTGGAGACAGACATCCAGTAAAACGAATTGGCATCATTCATTTTGGATACACGACTTTTCATAAATGTTTTTATTATCTCTCTCTTTGGAATATACTTATCATATTCTACCCTTATTTAAAATCACACATTTTTTGTATCTTTTTATTTATACAAAATGGAAAATTGAATTTAAATTAAACTAGCTTTGCCATCCTATTTCAAACGTTATTTCAGTCTTCAATCCTTGGTGTTTTTCCTACAGGACTCCAACTTTTGCCTGGACGTGTGAGCAAAAGCAAACATTAGCACAGCATTTGGAAGCCTATAGCTTTTCCTTTGAAAGCCTCCTCTGAGAACATCTGCACGGGAACATCTGGGAATGGCAGGAAATTCAGCATCTCTCAGCGTGACGTGCAATGGATGTTTTTCAAGTACTTCAGAGGGATGAGCAGAGTATTGAGCCTTGCAACCTCTAAACCCCTGATATAATTTATGGAGTCCAGCAGCAAGTGGTTCTCATTACCCATGTCATGTCCCAAACAAAGGGCTTACTGCTGGGGTGATATTTGTCTCCTGCAGTAATTACTGTTATGCTGTGTTCTCACAATATACATGTCCACAACATTGTTCCAGTTGTTGTTAATAATACACATGGTGTGAGATGACAGGAGGATTTTCTTTTCATTAACAGTCACTACATACTTGCATTATCCTCCCTTTAATTGAATCAAAACCCCTTTGTGTCGAATAAAACCACAGCACGTAAATGTATTTTAATAACAGGAACATTTATTTTTTTCTGTTTGAGGGGGCATTCCAGTTCTAGTACAAAAAAAAGCCAGTTTTAATAGAGTTCATCTGGCAGTGCATGGGAAGCTGCAAATTATCCGCCAGGAATTATGGTATAAATTGTGTCTGAGACTGGAGCACTGAACAGACTGCACCTGGTCTGACACAGCTGTTTCACACACACTCCTGCAGCACAGATCCAGAGGCCGGACTTCGTGTCAAGGCCTTGTAAATTTCTCAAAGCCAAAATGTAGAAAGGAAAAACGGTCTATTTGGCCAGTTATTCAAAAACCAATGAGTTTAAAGTGTTTAATTTGGCATGATCAAGCTAGTGGGAGAAAATAATAGGAAAAAATCATTAATTCCCTCCATGGAGAAATAGAACATCTTAATTCACTCAGTTTCTTTTCAACCAATGTACACCTGATTACCTCTTGTAACAACCTTATGATTTATTTAAGGAGTCCTTGGTGCATTGTTAATCATAATCTCTATCTATATTTTATAAACTCGTTTTGATTTAACGGTTCCTTCCCATTTCAAAGTCTGTGTTTTCCCTCTATTGAAAATGTTTCTGCAAGTATAGCGATTGCAGGTAAGGGATAACCTCCTCAGTATGGCAGGTGTAATATAGTGTCAGAGGGCTGAGATCCATATTGAGCCTCCTGTTAGCGTCTAGTTGTGTGTCTTGAGCCAAGCAGGTGCTCAGTTGAGTTGCATCCAGTGATTTAGAGAAGCATGTCCAACCCATTATCCTCTCCTCATCCATGCCTGTCTCAGTGGATTCTCTCACCCTGCCAACAATTTACATTGTCCTTTGCAGCCAACAAGGACACAATGGAGTTTATATGAGACGGTATATGAGACAGTATATGATCTCAGTACCACCACTTCTGAAGATACAGTTTTAAACTGTAATCTAAATTAGTGACACACATGCACAGAAACCTTACTTTATGAATTTTTGATCCTTTTCTGCAAAAATACAAGCTTTTTCAGTTGCTTCATGTATTTTCCTGGTAAAAAGTGTAAAAGCTACAACTGTATTCACAATGTATCAGTTAATGTCTTTGAAAGAGACAAATAGAATGTACACAGTATTTTGTCTTCAATGTATGCTTATTTATTTAATATGTATTATAAGTAATATCAGAATCAGTTTTATTACCAAGTAGGTTTACACATTTGCTTCGGTATAAGTTTATATTGCAACATACAATAGTACTCTATATATTTATTATTGTTGCAGTAAACTTGTAAGTACAATAATAGCGCTGATAAGGGAGTATGTGTGTTAAATGTATACACTGTTGTGTTTTTTTCTCAGTACAACAGTATAATCAGCACGTTCAATGCATTGCAGATGAAAAGAGAATGTGAGCACAGCAGAGAACATGATTCTCTTACAGAGAACATGATTCTCTTACAGTTTTGGACATCGGGAAAAAAATTATATTAAAATGATTAACTTATATGTTTTCTACAGCACATACTGTACACTGATGTTTTGGAAGTGTCGCAAAGATTCAAGAGACAACAATTTGATGGACTAAAGAAACATTTTTTCCATACATATCTGTGTCGGCGTTAGTTTGACTATAGAAGTATCCCTCGGGGTGAAGAGCCCTCAAACCTCGGCTGGAATGTAAAACAGGTGCTGCACAATTGGTTCCTCAACAGCGGGGGCGAAAGAAAAACAGCCGCCCCTGCAGGAACATGAGTGACAGAACATCACATTCTCCAGCCATCTGTGTCTCCAGATGATCCTCACTCACACAGTCAGATTTAAGGGATGACATACAGCATGCTTGCAATATATTATGCATTCTCATTCAAATCCAGAATCCCTACATGTGAAAAGAAATCCAATTATGCCGGTCAAAATATTCCTTGATAGCATATTCTGAGCTTTCTCTGCAGGATTAGCTTTCATAGCACAAATTCATGTTTCTCATTGGACTGAAGATTTGCTGATAAAAACAAATATAACAGTCTTAGCTCTTTCCTTAACACCTTGTGTGTTCCTCAAGTGGTGCTGTAACATCTGGCATGGATTACTACATTGAAATTCTGGCCGGGGATTCAAAGAGAAGAGTTTTTAATTGAATCCACTCCGAAGCATGTGAGACTGAAATGTCTTCTGGCGAGAAGCTTCGAATACACTCATGTTGCTTTGTCATGTGATATTTTTCACATATTGAATCTGTTTTTCCCCCTGTTTTGTGACTCGTGTTTCAAACTGAAATACTCTTTTCATAGAGCAGTAGAGTATAGAGAGTATCTTCTCTTTGCAGAACTGACTTGTCCAGACAAAGATAGTTAAATTGTGTATTTACTGGAAAGGAATTCACCAATAAAAATGTATTTAATATTTCAACAATCCTTTTGTTTATCCATGAGAATGTACTGCTGCCTCCCTTCCATTGGACCATAGCACATACCAGCATAACACTAAACCTACTGCTGTGCAACAATACACACATTCACAGCCCACAGACAGCAAATTGCTTCTCTCATTCCCCACCACGCCCTGCCTTCGTTCTCAGCCACCTGCAAAACAAACTGTGCTGGAAATTTCACTACAAATTACCCTGTGTCTGCCAAATCCCCCCGGGAGCTGAGGAAATCAAAACCCTGGATCTCCCTGCCCCCATTCAAACAGACCTCAGTCTCACTCACACAGAAATCACACTGTATTTATGTTTATAACTCTAAAACACGTGTTTTTATTTCAGAAATATAGAGAATATACTGTGGTATTTTAGTTGGTCTGAATTCTAAAGTTGTAATTCTTAAATACGATTTATTTTGGCATGAGTGCAAAAGAACTTCTGGTAACCTTTCAGCAAAAAGCTGATTCCAACAAGCTTAACAAAAAAAAAAAATTCTGCCAACCTTTCACCAAAAGCTGATTTATATAAAAGTGCCTGGTGGTGAAGAATAGAAACCATATGAAAGTTCACAGTTTACTTTTTGTCAACACCAATTGTAGGAGCAACCTATACTTCTGTGGGCTTCAGGTCAACATGACATTGTGAAACTAAGCCTCCATTCCCACTAAGATTGAAAACTGAGACCTGTTTCGCTTCAGGGGAAAATCAAAGGAAGGCACATACCTTAGCAGTGAATAATGATCAACAGCGTTCACATTGTAAGGGCCACAGCGCCTCCTGGTGACGGTAGTGCAGAATGACAACAGGCAGGAATGTCAGGGAGAGAGAGAGTGAGTCAGTGGCCGTTGCGCCAGAGAGATGAGTGTTGAAAGCTCCTTGGAAAAAGGATTAGGGCTGTTTATGTTGGCCAAGTGGCCCGCTGCCAGCTGCTCAAGTGTGCAAACTTCTTAAAGCTGCAGCGCTTCGGGTTGCTCGTGAATCTTTTCACTGTATTTACCCTCCACCCAGACCGTATGGAGAGTTGTGCTTTGTTCAGGGGGAAAGCCCCCTCCGCTTCAGCCACCACCTCCAAAAAAGCACGCTCTGCCCCAAGAAATGTGTTGGATTCAAAACCAGCTTTTCAGTGACACCAGAACACCCCCTTACAGTGTGCAAACTGTATACTTCAGGTAGAGTAACTCATTTTCAACTTAAATATACAAATAAAAGTCCCCCTCAGGTGATTCAAATGTTACTTGTATGTAATTGTAATGGACCATAAAGTGTTCTGCATCTGAATGAAATGTTCTGACTAATGTGTCAGCCAAACGCTTCCTCCCATTGACATGGTAAGAATCAGACACACCATATTAGGATTGTTGAAGGTAAGAGCTCCATTATATTTAGTAAATATGTCCTCTACAGGAGCAGACTTGATGTGGATTCCATCAAATAAAGAAAGGCAGGGAGTAGAAGTGTCCAGGTTGGAGGTAAAAGAGAAAAAGGGGGGCATATGTCAACAGTAGGATAAGACTCAGCCTGGGAGCTGGCAGGACGCCAGCGCAGTGTGGCCTGGAGCTAGATCAGAGCAGGGTTCGTGAGCTGCAGTTATGAGAGGAGGGTCTCAGGTCGTAGAATAATAAAAGGCATAGAGCCTCCGCAGCAATAGAGCTCACTCAACTTTTGTTCCCGACTCGCAGAAAAACTCAAACGCTTGAGTCAAGTTTTCTAAATATTGTCTCTGGCTGGTCATATTACAGATCAGAGCTATCTCATATTTTATTTGAAGAATATCAGCTTTTGCCATCACAAAGAACATTTTGAGTCCCACAGGTTGAAGAACTTTTTCTGTCAAAGCACTAAATCACAGTTTGGTTTCTAAGTAGGCCTCAGTGTACCTGACTCAAATGCTTAATGTGAAAAGGAGCTTTTGTTTTTGTTGGTAGACACATTTGAGAACATGATCTGATAAATACTAATATAGGTAGTATCCCCTCAATGTCAACACAAGTTTTTTGGATGTGTCTCAGAATGATTTGGCTTTACATGTAGAGTACAAACAGTTTGCAGTGTTTGGGTGTATTATCTTATAAACACAATATCCAGGGTTCAGACCCCATTATAGCGAGCATCCGCGGGGGCCAGACAATTTCAAATGCTATGTTAGTGTTATCAATGGGTTTGCAACTATTGAGCATTGTTTCTAAATATCTGTAACATTTAAGTTATTCCTCACATACTGCATTTGTATTCTTTGGATTTTACTGTATGTACAAAGACATTTTATATATATATATATATGGATATTCAGTGCTACTATTGGCTAAGGATATTTTGTTCACAAGATCCATATCATGCGAGTGTTAACAGAACTTAAAATAGTCATTTTGAATGATGATAATCTACCACTGACATCACACAACCATAGTAAATGCAGTTTCATTTAGCAACTGCAAGTAGTAGGATTGTATGTGCATGCTGCCATCTTTTGGTAACTGTGAGTACTGCAACTTCTCAAAACTAAATCTGTATTAAAGATATACTAAAATACACACTATTCTACTACACTTAAGGCTTACTGTATTTGTTTTATTTAAGTGTTTAATTACATTGGGTGTCAGAAGTGAATAGTCTATCCTAGTATATTGCGTGTCTGTGAATAATCTCAATAAACACGTGTTATAAAATAAGGAAGAATAGAGAAGGAAAAACATCAGACAATAAACAAGACACATCAACTTGTGAGAGATTAAATTCACACCATTAGGTTTGTATTCAGGTAGGTACATGCTGAATAAAAATGATCTTAGTTTACAAATGTACTTTTTTTTTTAACCAAATCCAGCTTCAATACTAGACTTTAAAAAGTGCTTTGGACATGGCACACCAATTCACCACCTGCTCATGGTGGACTTACCATACAAACCTAACTATGAAGGTTTAAGGCACTTTTTTATGTCACACTTCATTCAGGAAACATAAATGCAATTTTTCTAAATGCAACACCTTGTAATGTAAAATATAAAGTATATTGTACCAAAATCTTACTGTAAACACATGTTACACTTTTGGCACTGAATTCAGACCCAGAGAGGCACGACGACGTTCATGGCAATGAGTGGACAATAACACAGCCACAAATAAGTTCATTCAATCAAGGAAGGCACACCATAAATGCTCAAACCCATGTCAAATATAGTTTAACCTCATACACTTTTATCCCATTTTTCATATTATAAAGTATTGCAAATATATATATATATTACTGTATTGGAACAGATGTCATGATTATGCTTGATACATGACAATGATATGATGACCCTTGATATGTTGATACTGGCAAACCGCAATGATAGGAAGGCGAGTTGTAGTGAAGCCCACACAGAAATACTTACAGCTGATGTGTTCCCTCAGAATACACACACAATACATTTAGTATCACTATTCAGCTTTGTTCATGTGAGGAGGTTCAAGACACAACAGTTACTTATCAGCCTGAAATGTTGTAAATCACCTGAGGTAACATAACCGAGAGTAATATTGTAAGAAATGTTACTACATCAACTCTTTAAAGAAAGAACCGTTAGTTTTCTAAAATATCACAAAGAATTTGAACTTTTTCCTCCATTTCTCTTCAACACAGTCATTGGAGTATCTGCCTCAAGCATCACAGATATAGTACAAAACAGAAAGACAATGTCACTGACACACGGGGGTGTTGCGTGAAAATGTTGAGTTGGCTTTATCTTGATTGACACCTTAAATATCATCAGTCTTAAAATGATTCCGGTGTGCTTTATCCTGGTTCTTGGAAGTGTTCGGCTCCTGTCCCTGAGGTGTTTGAATAGGGGATGGAAGATAAAGCACCTCCACCATCTGTTGGTGAAGCTACTCCACTATCTTTTGTTTTGAAATAAATGACATAAAATAATGGCAGGACGATGCCGATCAGGAGCATGGCCACCAAAGCGTTCCACCACTGGATGCCCCAGTCTGCGCCGTGACTCTTCAGAGGCTGTCCTTTGAAACCAAACCGTTGTTGTTTTGAGTTATCTAAAAAAGTTTCATCTTGATCATTTGTGTTCTGAATCAGTTTCTCGATATCCTGGTCCACCTCCATCAGGAAGTCTGTGACCTCCTGCAGGTGTGGCTGGGCTCTGGATCGGTCCTGAGGCTTCACTGGTGTGGGGGATGAGTGTGGCATTTCTTCTTGAGGGTGACTTGTGTGCAACTCGGTTAAAAAGCTGTGTTTCTGAACAGGTATTTTGATGGTTTTCAGTGCAAATAAATCTTGTTCCTGCATGAGGTTGTTCACTCGCTTTATATCCGTCACCTGTTGACAGAAACACATTATTTTTAAGGAATCAGGAATCTTACTTGTATTCACCAATCTAGATTGTTTTGGTGGTAGTTGCCGAGTGTTATATCATTGAGATATGGTCGTAGTATGCCTTCTCTCAAATATAATGCGACTAAATGGTACCAAAAAAAAAGGTTTCGAAAAACTTAGATATGTCTTCTTCCCACAAATCATGACCTGGCGTATAAGAGCTAGTTTCTTTTACACCAAAGTGCACTGACCAACTGTATAACCACGCCATATGGAACGTACGTCTTCTGAACCATCTTACTTTACAGCTCAACCAAAGAGGGAATACATATTCCTACATGAAGCTGCTCACAACACGATCTGTGGATTATCTAGATCAGTGGTCGATCGCGAGTGTGGTGCGGGTAGATCGGACCGTTAAAAAAAAAAGTAACAAAAGAAAGAAAAATAAAATTAAAATAATAATGTTTGAAAAATACGTTTTTAGAACTAAACCTATCATCCACCACCCCGTTAGCAGGTGCCACTTGATTGACGTATATTTGAGAAACCTCAATAATATAATACATTAACCGTGCTTTACGTGAACCTCAGGCAGGACTGTCATTTCACGTGTTCAGTGAACGCAACAGAGGCAAGACACCAGGCCAATCAGAGAGTTGCATGGAAATACACGTGTGCTTGTGTCATTCAAGCTCGGCTCTGTGTGTGTGTGGCAATAGCGCATTTAGTGTGATAGAGAGAGGGAGAGAGAGAGGGAGAGATGGAGAGAGAGGGACCGGTGCTAAAGGGGACCGTGATGTTAGCATCTGGTTAGCTAGCTGCACTAACGGACATAAGGAGCTGTTTCCACAACAAGCTGGAGGAGAGTCCTCTCCTGTCAGACTGAGGGGCTCAGGTGAGCTAAAGGACTCTGAATGTTTAGATTAGAACGGTTTTGTCACAAATTATTCAAAAGATTATTTCCGCGGCACACCTTCATATGATCATTATAGTTATACAAACAATAAGAGAATAAATGAAAAACAGGTATGAAATACTATATGGCAGTAAAACCTATGGAGCCTTCATTGTAACAGTAATTCAGATGCAATTAGCCTATATAAAAGGCCTCAAATTGGAAGCATTGTCTGGGCCGTCTTTTTCACTCAATTCTGCAATAGGTAGATCTCGCCTTTCACCTAGGCCGAGGTCTGTGATCTTGGGCTTAAAAAGGTTGGTGACCACTGCTCTAGATTAACCGGGTCGACAGAGACATTTCTGGTGAGTTTTTCAAAGTATTCATTTTGTGCGTCTTTGAGCACCAAAGCCGAGTGCTTTCTAATGTTATCATATTCAAAAGAAGGCAAAGATATATTCAGTTGATATCTCTGAACTCAACCCAAAACAAACTAGATTGATAAATAGCAATAAAGTTAAAAGGAAACATTATTTTGAGATAAGGACCAGATTTGTTTTAAATAAAAATCATTGATTATTCATTATCTTTACCTTACAGCCATAT